ATCTTAGCATCTAAAATGTGATTTAACGGGTGAAAATGGTCCTCTGGTCATTAGCTAGTCAGTAAACACACTGCACACTATGTGTGCCTGGCACTGTGCCTTGTGCATTTTTTTCTCAAATAATTGACTCAAAGATGATTTCTTTTTATTTCTTGTTTTGATTGAAAAACGTTTATATATACTTGTCATTTGATTTGGGGCCCTCTGTGACTTTGACTTTAAGATATGGATGTTGCTTGAGATCTTTCAGATACTGTGCATAGCCCGAGACTCAGTTATGGATCGATATTCAGAAGAAAGGCAGTCAGACCAGAAGCTTCAACAGCTCTCTATAGGTCAGGTAGCTCTACATGTAGAGAGTAGAGGGGAGTGCAGGTTTCTTTCAAAATTCCCAAAGCTTCCTGCGTTCCACTCCTTACTGCAAAGCTCACATTACATTGAGGGAAAGAGGCTATGGATCAGAAAAGGTGGGAGAGCTGAGAACTGTATGGTGGGAAGCCATGCAATTAAAAAACTGACTGAAATTATTACCTGATTTCATAATTGACAGAATATTTAATTCAGATATAGTAAATTGACACACCTCTACACAGAGACAATTATGACTGACTGTATAACACCTGACAGAATCAATTATAACTGACTGTTGTTTGATACCTTTGCACAGAAATAAATGAAACAGACATTCAGAACAGAGACGGCTGCTGCCTGTGTGCCTAAGCTTGTCTTAATTAAAATAAAATAACCAGTAGGCGATATTAAAATAAATGTCTTTGCCTCGTGGTTTCCAGTTCAGTGTGTTTAAGTCCAAAAAGGGTTTTATAAAGAGTAGAGCTGTAAAGAGATTTTTGGTTTACTGACATGGAACTGAAATATGTGAAGTAGAGATAGTTTTCTTCAATGGGAGAATATTCTCCCCCCCCCAATAGTGCTAGCATTTTATTTGGTCAGTTGACTTTTAAATAAAATATTTAAGGTAAGTTCAATATGCAGGTGATTGTCTAGTTCATCTCATATAGAAAAGATGATAGTTTTCATGATTTTGAGGTTTTAGATTCTAATCAGTAGAAACCAACTTTTAAATTAGTGGTTAATTTTGTTGCTTGATAAAATATTTTGTGAATGATAAATATCTAGGCTTTTTTATTGTTTTCATAGGGTTAGAGACAGAATACTTTTGGCGATTAGTATATAACCACAAAGAATACAAGCATATAGAAAGGACCAGAGTAAATAAGCTTTAGATATATGTTCCTCAGATGTTATTCATATGACAAGTAAGTAAAGGATATTAGCTTTGCTGGTGTATTAAGATAAGTAATTTCTGGGTGATACTTCAAGCCACTAGAGCATATTTTGATGATACACTTGTGTGTAGGAAGAGCATTTTCTTCCTCGTCTCAACAAAGTTTGGATTTGTTGTGCTGGTGGTGAGACAGCAGCAGCCATGGCCAATGGCATCTCTGTGGACAGCGGTGGGATAGCTATGGATCTTCTCTTTCTTGCCTAATGGCCTATTGTAATCTTGTAACAGTTTTTTCTCGGGTGCCTGACCTGCAGCTCTGATGGCGATGGCATCTTTACTGGGTAGGCAGACTCCCAAAACCAGAGCAGGGGAAGGAATGGGGGTTTCATTGACCACATTAACTGACTTCTACCGTTTAACACCTGTATTTTTCCTTGAGTTCTAAAGTGGTGGGTGTTGTATTGGCAGAAACAGGGTAACAGTTTAATATGAGGCCTAGCGTGGGTGGCCCAGGTGCCTAAAGGGGGAAGAGAAAAACTGTGAAGAAGGGGTGACTCCTTCCCCCTCCCAGCTCCTACCCCCAGGCAGCATGTGACAGCTCATCCAGTTCTGTTTCCTAGAAAACCTTCCGTATGTTATTGATTAAATTCTCATTGGGGAAGCAAGTGGGAGCTTTTATCTGCATCTCTAACTGGCGTGGAATGGTGCCTTGTCCGTATTGACCGGCTATGGGATATGCTGGCGGTCACAGTTGTCCTTTACGAAGAAGAGCACCGAGTGATGCTGGTTGTCATTCTAACTCTGCTGTGTGGCAGCGTAAATAGTCCCCTTTCTAACCAACCTGGTGGGAAAAGTCAATATCCCATCAGCAGAGGAGGTAAACACATCAGGAGCTATGTCCTCGCTCTTCCTCCCCTGCTCTGTATTACCGCAGCTCTTTAAATGTGCTCTCCCCAGTCATCAGATGCATTTGTGTCATTCACATGCACGGGGTTGCTGGCCTGTGGCTCTGGCCTGCCGAGAGGCAGCCGGCACTGGTTAGGGCCATTGTTGTGTATTCCCAGACTCGGATAATTAGAACTTTCAAATTGTCTTTCTATAGTCAGTTAACGATGTGCACCCCCTCGCCTCTCTTTTTCCACTCCCTTTGGGCATTTAAATCCTCTACAAAACTTGTTGTTGTTGATTTTTGAAAGGCAATTGATGTAATTTAGAAAAGGTTGTGGAGAACAAATGCGAATATGTAGTTAAGGAACAAAAATCATGAGATTGAGTTTTTGTTTTTTGTTGCAGTAAGGTTTTAGGTTTTGTTAGTGGTGTGCTCTCCGTTCCATGTGTACTTCCTGACCTTTCCCTGTTGCAAGGTGCTGGGCAGCCTCACTCCCCCTAGGAACCTTGGCACAGGCCAGCATCTGCAGGGGGCAGGGGGGCCCTCACCTCGGAAACAGCTGATGTCTAGAGCCTGCCCATCTCTATCTGGGAGCAGTGACTTGCAGATGTGGGGTGGGGGGGCAAAAGTGAGCCTCTTCTTCATAGTGTGGGCTGGGATTGTGGCTGCCTGGGTTTGCACGGCTACATCCCTCATTACCTGCTGTGTAACCTTGGACAAATGACTTAACCTCCCAGTTTCCTTGGCCATAAAATGGGGATTGGAAGGGGAAAAAAAGTCATCGGCCTCCTCAAACACCTTATAGGGGTCCCAAGCAGCTCTGAACAAAGACAGTGTCATCTTAACCATCCTGGGCAGGATTGGCTCCCAGCGATCACTCTCTTCTCCCAAAAGATCAGACCTGAGCCTCACAGCCCTACTGCTCCTTTAAAAGAACAAAGTATAGAAGTAGCCTGTCTCTGGGGAGGGGAAAGGAAGGCTCTTCTCTGGCTGGTAGCACCCTGCTCAGAACAGAAAGGCCAGGGATGAATGGGTTGAAGGAGCAGGATGCAGGGGCAGGGGGACTATGTGACCTGAGTTCACACAGTGTGGACAAAAAGCAAAAAAGAAATCTTGACAATGGACAGGTGCTCTCTGGGCAGCTTACCCCTTGTCTCTTTTAGCAAAGGAGGTTTTGTTTAGCAGAGGGACACAAACAAGAGGGCTAGAAGAAGATAACTAGGCCCAGCTGATCTGAGGAGTTTGTGCTGGGAGGCGCTCTAAGGGCCTTCCTTTGAGACGATGTGTTTCCTGCTGCATCCAGATTTGGTGTGCAGTTGCATGCATGTGCTCGACAGCGCCGTGGAAGTGGTGCCTGCAAGTGGAGCTCACCTTGTCTGCTGCACATGGGCGTACACCTGCAATTCCCTTGGTAGACAGTGGCCCCGTCCCCCAGTGTGCTGAGTCAGCTAGATCCTGAGATGTGGTGGGCAGGCAGGGGAAAGGAAGACAGGCTTTCACAGAGCACTCTGCCCCCACCCTTCCATCAGACTGACCCCAGGGACAGACTAGAGACAGGACCATGGAGCTACAAACGAATCTCCACCCTCTTCCCTAGTATGTGATGAGTACTGAATGGTCTTTAAAGAATCTGTCTCTGAGACTTCTAATGTTTTTATTTGTACTTCTTTTTAGATAAATTGAATAAGCAGTTTCTTACCCCCAAAGTTCGTCAGGAATACAGAAAACTCAAGAACACAGCAGAGCAGTTCCTGTCCCGAAGTGGCTACTCTGAAGTGAACCTCAGCAAACTCTTCGCTGGTTGTGCTGTGAAATCCTAAGGGAATCCCAGGAATGAACAAGGAGGGGGTAGTTGAAAAAAATCCCCGCTTCCTCTGTACCCCCGCTTTGACCCTAACTGCTTCTCTAGCATCTGCTTTTCCCTTTAGGACTGTGTCTTATGTTTGTGTGGATGTGGACCTGTGGAGGAATTGCAAAACATATTGAATCAACCGAGCATCACAGAAGATCTACACAGTCTTCCTATTAAGATGGACTGCTTTGAAACATGACTTTAGAGCCCTTCCCCAAGCACCTGAAGAGGTAGCATACTGAGGACTAGGTTTTTGGGGAAGGAAAATTGCTACTTTGAGAGTAGCTGGAATGTAAATGACCCAGGGCTTTGCCCCCAGAGCCTTTAGCTGAGGTGCCCCTAGAAAGAGAGATTCTCTTCAGCCTGGCTGAAGAGTTAATGTTTTGCCTTTTCACATGCCAATTAAACCCAGTCTAAATCCAAACGCTTCCCCAGCCGCTTGCTCCAGGAGTGGCTGTCCTTTTCAGTCTTGTCTTTTGTAGAGAGAGGTAGCTGACGTGGGAGATTTAGAAGCCTTGCACTCACTAAATAGATTAAACAGAGCGAGCTTGTTTTTTGAATTGCTCCTAAGTCCAGCACACACTGAGCAGGTGTTTTACACTCACATTCCCTTTTTCCCCCTTAAATAGAAGGTGCAGGTAAAGGTTTACACAACAGGAAAGCACATTTAAAATAATTTGATTTGCTAACAGTTCATTAAAATGTGTACAATTCGGGGCAAGGATCACTGTGTTGTATTCAGAAAAATTGGGAGGGGATAGTTCATTGGCCCTGATGCTTGATGCTTGCGATTTTTCCTCATTTCTTCAGAATGGTGCCCTCTCGGCCAGCAGCAAAATACATTTCCATATGGCAATCTTTCCTTTCTTATATCATTGGTAAGATCATACTAACAAAATCTCTCCCTGTGTACAACTATACTTTGTTTTTTAAAAAAATGTTTACCAATGTGTTTTTATAAAAGAAAAATATGTTGTGCCTTTTACTTAAGAATAAAGTTTTCTAAAGGGAAAGCAGTTGTGGTGAATCCTTGTCAGGTTCAAAGAGTTGACTAGAGGAGCAGCAAGGAATAAAATATGACTAGAGCCAGGTGTGGTGGTGTGCACCTTTAATCCCAGCTACTTGGGAGACTGAAGTGGGAGGACCGCTTGAGATGAGGAGTTCTGGACCCATCTGGGCATTATAACCAGATCCTGTCCCTACAAAAAAATTAGCTGGGCATGGTGATGCACACCTGAGATCCCAGCTGAGGCTGAGATGGGAGGATCTCTTGAGCACTGGAGGTTGAGGCCAGCCTGGAATGAATATATATATTCACTTTGAGAGGCCATATATATATATATGAGACTAGAGTCGATCATCTTCCCAGACCTCACCCTGTTTGGAACCCAGCTCAGGGTTGCTCAGTGTGATGTTTGGCCGAATGTTCTCAGTAGCATTCAGGAGAATTTCTGTGGCCTTTGAGTCATTTAAGAGATGAGGTATGGTTTCTTACGTGCTTTGCTAATTCAGACAGCAAAAGAGAATGAAGCTAAGAGGCCGACAGTGTCTCTTTTTGAAGAGGAGGCCAAGGGTTCCTGGGAGAAAGGCACCCCACAAGAGAGGTTCCCTAGCAAAGAGCAGTGGATATAAAGCTGCCTTTTATCTTGTGTTTTCTTTTCTCTCCTTCACCCTTTTGGCTCTCATGTCTCTTTTCCTTCTTCTTCCCCTTACACTCACGTTCTAAGTAGAAGCACTATGAGCTTAGAGCTCTATCAATTAATTAACTTGGTACTTTAACCTCTGCAGCTTGTCACAAGTTGGAGCACCCAAGTTGTTTTAGGAAACTAAAGGATTAATGCTGTTTCATTGCTCCCCTGGTCAACGCTCTTGATAATTTGTGTTATGATATAGGCTAGGTTATAGGGATTGTTCTCTAATGTTGCTTCCAGAGCCCAATCCCCAACTTTGCTTTCTGAAGGGAAGACATGTTTTCCTTGATTTTTGGGAGCTGGAAATATATTAAATATAGAGTAGAGTTATCCTAAACTTGGTCATCAAGAAACTCCAGAAAACCCCAGTAACTTCTCACTGGATTGTTTCTTGTCTCTGCCTCTAGATTGTAATCACCCTGAAGGTAGAGACCATTTCTGTAGAAAGTTAGACTTTTTTTTTTTTTTTTTTTTTTTTTAGTTTGAGTCTCACTCTGTCACCCAGGCTGGAGTGCAGTGGCATGCTTAAGGCCACGGCAGCCTCGATCTGCTGGCAATCCAGCTCAATCTTCCTAGTTGCTGGAACTATAGACGTGTGCCATCACACCTGGCTAATTTTTTTAATTTATTGTAGAGATGAGGTCTCACCAAGTTGTTCAGGCTGGTCTCGAACCCTTGGACTAAGGCAATCCTCTCGCCTCCACCTCCACCTCCCAAAGTGCTGGGATTATGGGCATGAGCCACTGTGCCCAGCTGAAAGTTAGACATTTCTAAGTACAATCCCTGAAAAGAGTTGATGTTTTATTATTTGGATCTGTTATTATTCCAGCCACCTAAGGAATTCCAGAATTTTATGGAAAGTTTAGACTGAAGCTCTGATTAAGAATTCCAGTGGGCCAGTGACTCATACCTGTAATCTGAGCACTTTGAGAGGCCAAGGCAGGAAGATTGCTTGAGGCCAGGAGTTCGAGACCAGCCTTGATAACATAGTAAGATCCTGTCTCTAGTTATATAAGTAAAATAAAAAGAATGCCAGTGGATCTCTGTTGGAAGGTTGGAATGTCACATACTATTCTCTGAAAAGGATTTCTACTCCTTGGTTTGCCTGATTGATATCACACTGGGCAGAACTGGTGTGGAAATGCTGCCTACTTCTTTCTAAGGGGGCGCCTACTCTCTAGGCTATCTGGCTCAAATCTTAAGCTCAAATTCTTAAAGTGAATGGGTGAAGCAAGCCAAGTTCACACTAGAGAGTAGCAGGAGTGGGTACTGTGGTAAACAGGAGTGGGCAGGTCCTGTCCAAAGGGGATACCAGCTACTCAGTGATGCTTGGAGGAATGGAACCCAGCATGGCCACATGATCCAGTTTCCAAGAGAAGCCAGGAATCCAGATATTCCACAAAATCTCTCAATTTCTAAACCTTGGCAACTCATTTTTAAAATAAAGCTATAAACACTAAGTGGGCCAGTCAAAACCTGTGGCCTAAACTTTATCTGGGCCAGTTGGGAAATTGCACCCTAAAAGAACCCTGCTCTCTTCAGAGCCTCATGCCTCTGCAAAGGGGCACCTTTTCTGTTTATTTTAGGAACTGGGATTTGACCTACAGCAGATCCCTGTACACAAGCCTATCTTGGATGCAATTTGCCAAACCCTCAACTCTCCTTCACATAAGGTAGATAAAGGAGGCCCAAAGTTGAAAATCCTACAAAGAGTATGCTTGACAAGATTGTCATTTGTCCAGGAAACAGATGGAATTAATCTTGTAACTGTTGCCCAGGACATGGGGGCTAATCAAAGTGCGCAGACTGGAGTCTAGGAGATACTGAAAGGGAATGAAGAAGTCACTGCCCCTCTCCAGCCCTTGCCACCTCTTACCTCCAACACACACACACTACACACCTTGACACACTTTTGCAAACATCATTTAAAATAAATTCGACAGAAGATGCAATAAGGAAACTCCAAAAACAGATTTCCCTGTCCATGTCAGGGTTTCTAAGAAAAACATCAAGCCCTAGCACCTCTTGCCAGAATCCTGACCCAGCAGTACAATGCTCTTTGATGCTCCCACCCCCCAAACTTAAAAAACTGCCTTTCTCTCTCTCTCTCTCTCTCTCTCTCTCTCTCTCTCTCTCTCTCTCTCTCTCTCTCTCTCTCTCTCTCTCTCTCCCTCTCTCCCCCTCTCTCTCCCTCTTCTCTCCCCATTCACCTAAATATTTCTTAATTGAATGGTTTGTGGTGGAGCTTCCTTATAGCAGTTTAATAGATTAACTCATCTGAGCCAGCCTCAAATTTCAGATTAAAATTCCTTCATCCCGAAGGCAGCATTATCAGGTTGTTGGAGGCTGTTTTCAAACCTTGGTTTTGAATAGCAGCGGCTCTGCATTAATTTAACCACTAAGCTAATAAGTAGGTTTCGTTTTGTTATGCTAAGCTTTATTGCTTTTCTTTTGATCAGAATGGTGTTGTTGAGCAAAGCAGCAGACAAGGCATTCTTTGATGAGGGAATTAGCGCTCCATTCTTCCTCTATTATTCATAGCGCAGTGGAATATGTAAGTACCTGAGGGTGTCAAAGGAGCGCAGGTTCTATTGCAAAGTGCTCGCCTTGTTTCTCTCAATAGCTGACTATGAGATGATAAACCGCTTAATACACTGTGCTAATTGGATGAGAGCAAAAAGAGATGGGAATTAAGGCGAGGCAAAAGGAGAAAGTGCAACCAGCCTTCAATTCACTCTTTCACCACTTTAACAGCACCAAAGGAGGCACAAGCTTTCTATAAGCAGACTAGAGGTTTTGTGCAGAGATAAAATGAACGTGTTAGTGGATTCAAGTAATACACTAATTATTGCACAGTATAAATACCACTACTGGTTTTATAACAGGGAGGTAAACTTCTTTTGAGAGGGTTATAGGATTGCTTGGCAGTGGTGTAGAACCTAATAAGGGCCCAAAGTAATAACCCCCTGGATTAACAAAATTGCTGCTTGTAGAAGTATGATTCAGGCTTTTACGAAGATTTCCGGAGAATGAATAAAAATGACTGAATGACATTTCTTAATGTATAACTGGTAATCACTCCCTTTTCTTTAAAAGAAAAAAATGTATACCTCAAACTGGACCGTTAATAACGTCCAGGGACAACAAGACTTTTTCTTTGAAAAATGCTTTCCCCCCCATCAGGTAGCGGGTTTTCTTCTCTCCGCCTTCCCCCCTCCCCCAGCCAGGCTGCCACTGTCAGTTAAATGTGCAGTTGCTCCGGGGAACTCTGTTCCAAAATACCATGTTAGGCCCCATTTAAGATGCCCTTCATTCAGACACATTCACTTTACTGTATACACATACACACATGCACATGTGCACATTTTTTTCTCCAAAAGCAAGTTGGGCTAACCTATGTATAATTTCCTTTCCTCTAACATCAGCCCCTTTTTCCATCCTAGTAAGATCTCTGCACTGAGAACGATACTAAAAAGAGAACTACGAATGCTTTGACTCTTGATGTTACAAATCAGAAACAACAAAAATGATAATTGTTAGCCTCAATGGGGGGTTAATAAGAAAAAAAAAACAGGAAATTGGTCAGGGTCAATACCATCACTGACTTTAAGACTGAATTTCAAGTGCCAAGTGGTCTCAACCCTTCCCTTCAACAGTCACTCTCCCTAATTCTTCCACTTGCTACAGACCTCACCACACACCTAAGATGTGGGCCCTAACGACTGCCCACAGTCCAGGCCATGGGTGGTTGGTAAGAGAAGAACATTGCTGATGATATTATGCCAATTGCCCCCTTTTTGCAAAGGCTTCCCCATCTGCCGCCTCCTCCAGATCTGGCTAACCTGTCTGAAAATGTAGCAGATTAACATACCTCTTCTCAACTCTCCCACAGAGGCCAGTACTGGGCTCCTAGTCACCCCTCACCCCAAGATGCTGCAGGGGTGGCCCTGGGAAAGCAGGTGCTGGGCCATTCTGCCCTGGGTGTGATAGGAGACGGCCAAGCCCTGCACTGGGCTCTCTCGAACTCCCCTGGGGCCCTGCATGTCTTCCTCCATGGTGGAAGAGGTTTGCTTAAGGTTGGGGGGGGTCAGCCGCTCCCAGCATTGTGACTGCGTTCCCAGATATTGGGGCCAAATTGGGTTGCCATTCATTAATAATGCTCACAATAAGATTAAATCATTCTGGAAAATCTCATAAAATCCCCCTAAGTACGCTCCAGTGGCTCTTTCCAATCCCCATCATTCAGCACTTGGGGAGGTTTGGAAGGAGAAGAAAATTGGTTTCTTTGCTTTTAATGCTGCTTTGAAAAGATACTCAGAGTT